TTCTCGTCATCACTGTTAGCTGTTTATAATGTCATGCTTTCTCATCGAAGTAAGTTCATGTTGGTCCGGCCTAAACCAAACTTTTGACAAGGGAACACCATGTCTCATAAAGCATATGATTAAAGCCTCTAAAATGGCACTACATTGAAAAAGTATTCCAAATCTAGCATCATTAGCAAATATCTCTCTTTTACCACATCAAACCGCACATTATAGAGAGAGAGAGAGAGAGAGACACACACACACACACACACACACACACACATACACACACTTTATCAAAACTATTCTTAACACACAAGGGCCGAAAATGCTGATATTTCAATAAAAAGAAGTTGAAGCAACAAAGAAAATGATTTGTGCATCATCTAACAAACAAAAACTGACAACGGAATTGTCTTGAAATCACACGCTCAGATCTTCATATTACACAATACGTTAAAAGCTAAAGCCATCCCCACATCCCACAGTATATATCTTACCGAGATATGAGACTAAAATCAGACAGAAACATCTGTGCATTGATCTCCAGGGACAATGGAACAACTATTTCAGGGCTTGAAGGCAGAAAATTAATTTTACCAGCGCCACATTAGAGTCATTGCTCATAGCACGATCCGGGACCAGTTGGAGGACGTCGGGCATAAAAATTCGTAACAGGTGCAGCTTGAACTCCACGCCTTGTCAGAAGACACCGAAAATACTCTAATCTATGCAATGCAGTTAACGTAGTATTTCCAGAAGATGCAGACTCCTTGTTGCTCCACAAGCGCTCTACGTTGCATAAAAAGAGGAGTTAAATACAAAAGCTTATAAATTTTCTGGACTTTAAGCTGATACTTCTTGAAATGATACTGCCTCAAGATGAACTAGAAAAATTGCTACATCATTCAATATCCTTGGAACGACCATTCATTTTGTGGTGATATAACTAAGCTACATCATCCAATTCGGTAGAGAATACATTGAGAAGGGTGAGATACAATTCATGTAGTGCAAAGGAGCGGCTTGTCAACATTTTGGCAAAGTTACTGCAGATAAATCATTTTTATTATCAAAAAGAGTTACCTGGAGATACGAGGAGTGAGCATTACAAAAAATTCCAAAGATAGTGCAACTTCACATAGCATTCCTTTTTGAAGGCTAAAAATTTTTCAGGAAGGTCATTTAATTGAAGATGTTTTCGTACTTTAGTCTTGTTTAATTATTGTTAGTATGCATGTTTCAAGTGCATTTAGACGACTCTAAAATATTATGATTTCTTCTACATGCAATAGACAACCAACAATAAATGCACTCAGGGAGGGATCACTGGTTATTATTGCAACAACCAAAGTTGCTAAACAAACAACCCATCCCATAAATAAACCAAACATATGAACATAGTTGAAAGAAAATGAAGAAGATAAAAAATATATACACACACACATACTCATTCATCATAAAAAAATTTGTATAAATTCAATGATTATGACCAAATTATCACATAAAGACAAGCACAAAATATTCATAAATAAATGGGTGACATGTTAAACTGTAATATGTATGGAGGTGATACCCAATTGTGGATACAAGTGGTCATGAGCTGCTTCACAACAAATTGTACGTTAATATTACTTTTCATTCAGTTCCACCATGATAAAATACCCACCATAGTAAAATAGCCAACAAATTGAACATTCAACAACCTCTTATGCCCCACGCTTTATTAGCCATTTGACTGAAACTAGAGAAAATGCCTATATGGGTTGCAGCATAGTTTCTCTTGTCCTAGGTCCAAGGTTCAAACATATGCGTTAATGGTGACAAAGTTTCTTCATTTGAAAACATATTGGACCGGCCGTCAATTCAGTCATTCGTTTAATAAATATGCAAATGCAACAAGTTGAACAGAGTTGAAGCATGCTTGACATTATTGACCAAGCTCAAGTCCAAGCAAGGCATGATATCGAGTGTTTCCTAGTGATAGAAAATGAAAAGCCACATTCATTGGCCGAACATGAATCACATATCACCAAAGTAAACGCCGACTTTAACTAGATAAAAATAAAAAAGCAGCCACCACATTAATAAAAATAAGTTTTCTATGGTATAATTTTCAAAGCCTGAAGGATATTTCATAGAAATATATTTCTAGATTCTTAACCAGACATAGCTTATAACAATTTGCTGGATCTAGATGCAAAAACGATACAGTTAGATTCTCACCTGCTACTGCAGCAGCTCGAGGCCATGTTGTTTGTTGAACATTAGAGGCATCAGCTTTTTCACCCCACATGCAAGCCTCTCCTCCAAGAACAAGTTTCTGCTTGGAAGCATCAGTTATTCCTTCTAATGGGTCAGCATAATAGACAGTACTCCATGGGACATCTAGGTGGTCAAGATACCAAACACCTTGGTTACTGAAAATGCACCTAAAACCTTTTGCAACAGCTTTTGGACAAACACCAGAACCCAACCTGCATGGATCACAAGGATCTATGCCTCAGCGTTTTTATCAATAACTTGACACAATTTGATATGGAAAAATAGATACAGTCAGATTCTCACCAGTTATGCACTATGGTCTGTGGGTTGAGTTTTGTCGGGAATGTGTTGAAAGTTTCTTCCCTGAAATAATACAGAAAAGAGTACATTATGGTTCAAACAAATTATACTAGAAATCTTATCTTTATCCTCCAATGTTATAATTGGAGCATAAGATTTCCCAACCGTGGTCCGGGTTGTGAAACTAACAAATATTTGTATACTAAAACCACTACAACTCCAACAAAATATAAATATCCCCAATAGCATAAGAAACACACACACACACACACAAATGGAAAAATAGAAAAGAGGATAACATACCAGTTGACAGGGGTCCACTTTAGTGATGCTGCTATTTTTTGAGCTCTGAGTACAAAATATTGATATGCATCATTACCAGTCATATTATGATCTTGAAGCCTGTGTCCAATGTTTAATTATACACAACAGATATATGAGAGAAATTTTGATTTGGATTCCACAAATAAAGGACATGATATCATTGTGAGATCTCGGATTAATTTCACGTATTTCAAAATTCAGTACATAGAAAGCCCTGATATCAAGAAATGATGGCATAAGAAACAAAAGAAAAATACATCTCCATTCATTTCATTGAGCATACATGATGGTTGGAATAGATGGGATAACATTAGTCTGAGCTCTCAGATTTGCAAAGCGGACTTAGGGGAGATGTACTCAATTTTGTTTCTGCTGGATAATAAAAATGAACAGAATTTTTCTCTTCTTAGGCTCATTCTCAATAATAATCATATTCTCTTTTCTGATTGTAACCTAGCTTTGGCAAATTAATGTAAAATCAGAATCAGAATGTGTTAAACTTGTTGGTATTGTTTTGGAAGACTGTTAATGCAGTGTCATGAATATAATAATCAGAATCTCATCGAAAGACGAGTTGAATTCGCGCATTGCTTAGCAATCTCCTTCAAGAGATTCAAACGAGTTTCCTTATAATATATTTACAGTTTCTTGACAAGTACGAGTAAAAATAGAGCACCTATCAAGACGTTAAAGCGAATCAAATTCAGTATCCCGTAATTATTCTGCTAGATAACTGATTCCAGAATTTAAAATTATTATGTGGCTACGATCACCAATGAATGTCACAAACTTAAATGAAAGAGCTAATATACCATTGTTTTACAGATGGCGTGGAGGTCCAACAGTCTGCAAAAAGATTACCGTAATACAGTCAGAAAAGGATGAGCCGCGAGATGAAGGCATTGAGGAGATAGAGATAGATCAAAAATGTTTAAATCACCCATCAAAACTTATTCATAGACATACATTTGTGGATTAAACTTAAAAAAGAAATGAAATCATCCAAGCTTAATACAGTGAATTGCATCATCAGATGACAAACTGATAGATCAGTTATAAAGTCTCCATAATTAAGATTCAGAAGTTAAAAGCTTTGACAAATAGAGTAGAATGAATAATACATGACAAACAAATGTCCACATCTCCAGTTCAGTAAAATTTATTGAAACTCTTACTTCTAACTCTGCCATGACATTTGTAGACAGTGTTGCACGGACGCTTCAATTAGGGTGACGTGTTCGTATCCGACACATGTCGGACTAGCATCGAATACCAGAACTCTACCGTGGTCATTCTTCTTTCTTTATCAGCAATATTATACATTTATAACTCAAATTTATTGATAAGTAATAAATAAATTCTCAACAAAATATTTCAATAAGAAAAAATAATAAAAAGTATAAAACAAAATTTATATTATATAAATGAAGAATTTTAAAGATTTTAATTAATGTGCCATGTTAGAACTTTTTAAAAAGTTGCAATAAGTGTCGGACACATGTATTCGTGTCAATACATCATAGTTTGTAGATCACAAAAGTTTCCACCTATATGCATACTATGCATATGTGATTGTATTCATGTAAAAATTAATAAACTGAGAACATTTTCAAGAAGCTCTCTATTTTTAAAGAGTATATTTTATCATTTGGAGAACATATATAAGTTTAGAGAGTTAAAATTTTAAAGTACTCCAACAAGTTTTTTATGCCCTTGTTTGAGCCTCATTCTTTCCAAAAAAATATTCATAAATAGTGTTTTGACATCGTTTAAATCACATATTCTTCAATAAAATAATATTATACGCAAATCCAAAACTTTTACTTATTTTTTAACTACACATTTTCCATCAATACACTATTCAAAAATTCATTCTCTCCCAAAATGAGACTCAAACAAGGGCTATATTTAATGCTTAATGTTACTACTCCAAAAAAATATTCATTATTTTTCTCTATCTTTCATTTTAACTAGCTTTTCTCAAAATTATTTATTATTTTCCTACATTGAAAATTAAAACACTTTAAATACATTTAATTATAGAGAGTTTTAAAATATTAATTTAAAGAGTCTTTTGAAGCATTATTTTAAGAATTGACTATTTAAAATATAGAGTATCTCATGTTTAAAAAGTCTTTTGGAAATGCTCTTACATACAAATTGTAACGGCTTGGAATTTCGAAACTATGATTCTCATAATCTATAAATATTTTATATTCATGGATGATGGATTGCTTAGTTTGTTCAAAATATGTAAATATTTACTGAAATATGTAAATATTTACTGAAAATTTCACAATTATTTGTTACATAAAAGTAAACTGTCATATCTTTCATTAAAGATCATTTTTTTCATGGATTAATGTTTAAATTTGAAATCTGCATGAGTTCGTACTGAAATAAAAAAAATATTTATTGAGTGGTGGAATTGGAGAGCACTCTCTTGGCTTTCTATTTAAAATCCCTCCCCTCTGTTGTCTGTTGTATATGTATGCTCCATTATAATTAAGAGAAAACAATACTCGCACAAACAAACCAAATGGACAGACGTGTAGTGAGGACACACACACACACACACACAGAGTTGATATTTATGAATAGAAGTGAGGCTGCTGCCCTTTTGCAGCAACAGCTATTGCTTGGAACCTTGATTGTTTGAAGTCTGTGATTGCGGGCTGTCTTGGCGTTCTTGAGTGCACGGTCATATGTGAGTTACTGGCAATTAAGGTGCATGGTGCTCAAGTGAGGCGAGGCATGTTTCTGGTGGCAAATGAATGATGGAGGTAGAGGGATTATGAGGGGCACATGGATGAATGCAAAAATGATGAGCGGACGAATTAGGTTATTAAGGAGTTGATGTACCAAGGAACAGGTCCAGGGTGTTTCTGGTTCAAGCTGGGAAGGCAAAACAAAAGAAGAAAATAAAGAAAGGGAGCCCTATTTTATGCTTCAGGATAGGTTTATCACTTGTACTTCCATCTGAGAATCTTTGTTTAGAAAACTTCTGAGTTCTTAGTTTTCACTATTTGGTTCATTCTGAGGCAATTATTTTTGCTGGTAACTAGGAAATTCAAGATTTTTTTTCCCTTCATTACATAAACAGAGAAATGTACTTGGAGATGAAAGCAGAAGAGGTTATCAAGAAAACAAAAATCTTATATTACCTGTATGAACCTCATCACCACCTAAGTGGAAAAGTTTGAAGGGAAAAACTTTTCGCATGTCTACAAGATAAAACATTGATGTTAAAATCACAGAGATCAGGCATTAGAACCTTTCTACTAATCATTTAAGCTTGGCAAAGAATATGACATAATAAATTTGCAACATCGACAAATGACTTAAATGAGAATAGACTAGAAGGTCCAAGTAGTGGATGAAACTTTAAGTAATCCTATATCTGATAATAGTTGTGAAGACCAAGATTTTCAATAGAGACTGGAAATCCTGTTCAAGTCAATCATGCAAAAAATTCATTCACAATATTTGAGTACAAGATTCAAAAGCATAAAAAATGACATGCAATTTTTTTATTATTGTTTTTTATTTTTTGGAAAAAGAACAAAAATGGAATTAAAACATAAGTCATAACTATAATTATAGCATGATTATGGCTTAAGTGATAAAATTAGGGTCTTTGTCTCCACATATATGAGTTCTAATTCACATCAGAGCCTTCAGTTACTAAGAAAGCTACTGTTGAAAAGCAATAAATGAGGAGTCTCAAGTTAATAAAGAAAAATAATACTTTTGTTCTAAAATCTACTTTTAATGACTCTTATCATAATATTAAGCTCCACTTCAAATGCAAGGTTATGTTGATACGAACATGTTTAAGTAGTAGTGGTTTAGTAAGATTCTAATAAAACCACCATTTTTATTTTTCCGAGTTCTGTCGAATTCTAAAATCGTTAATTGAGTGGGTAATAACCTTTCTATTCCTTTGGATTTTGGCCTTGAAAATATTCATATTAATCAAAGGAGAATTACCTGCTAGGTAAACTGAGATAAATTAAATGACTACTTAATTGATATTAGACATAAGCAAGTGCATAGGTTATCATCCTTTTTCTAGAAAAATCTCTATAGGCCAGTCATTTTTGCACCTACCGTGGTTGCAGAAAGTTCCTTTGTCAAACATCCAGTGGCTACACCAAACCTTTTGGCAACTTCGTAAAAACATTTCCAAGAGACTTTATTTTAAAGAGCATATTTTACAATTTAGAAAGCATATATAAATTTAGAGAGTAAAATTTTTTAAGTAATCCAACAGGCTTTTTATATTTAACATTTAATTTTACTACTCACAAAAAAATTTATTCTTTTACTCTATCTTTAATTTTAATTACTTCTCTACAAATTATTATATTATTTTTCTCAATTGAAAATTGAAATAATCTAAATACATTTAATTATAGAATGTGGGTTTGGCTCTCCAAATTTGAAGAGTCAAACTGACTCTTTAAATTAAAATGTTAATTTAAAGAATCTCTTAGAACATAATTTTAAGGATTAACTCTTTAAAATAAAGAGTATCTTATCTTATGTTTAAAAAATCTCTTGAAGATGCTCTAACAAAATTAGTAGTGCAGAAGATTCTGCACCTTTAATCGAAGTGTAAAAGAAAGTGCCACCAGTTTGTAGAAGATCCTTGTTATGAGGTGCATAAGGATCTGTACTTCTGATTTCCTTCATCATGGCTAGCTTAACATTTTGTTCAATTATCGTACGTTGTGTATAAACTCCTATAGGATATGCATCTAATTTCACAATTTGTCCACTTCCTGTTATAAGGAGCCTAAATATATTATGAATCTATGACAAGCTAATCATCTTTAATATTGACAATGGAGATGTCTAACAACCTTCCCCCACAAGCGAATCCTCAAAAGCTTAGCTTTTGGTTCAATGTAACGAAAAATTAGAATTTGTAAAAGATTGGATCAACATTTTTATTTATTAAACAAAAGTTCAAAACCATAAAATGCTAGGTGGCACCTCTGATTTTTACATCTACTCGGGCTCATATATTACTAATCAATAGATCTCCAAAAATGTTGCATCAAAGCCCAGGCCACTACGCAGACTCAATTGTAATCTACGTCTGATCTTCAGAAGCAGAGGTTATCCATACATAAAATAAGCCCCAAGCACTATAGCTTATTAACCATATACAAAATATGTCGCCTTTCATATCACTTTCAAGTTACAATACATATTTTTTTCTCAAACTATTCTTTCCTTTTGTCAATTCTGAGTAGTTTCCTGATATTTCCTGATTTCATGAGTGGCATGTACATGTACCAACATTTGAAATCAAGACTTTATGACCGAATCCACACTTGTACTGAACACCCAAATCTAGCCTCAGCAACATAGGCAGTATTGGTATCACGTGTAATATGAACTGGTCGACCTGAATCAGAAATGAACATAACACATTGTAATCATTCCATTTCAATTCTTTACACATGATACGATGATTTCACTTTCTTTAATAGGACTCTCCTTGACACCAGCACATTTAATCAACGTGCACGGAGAAGCATTTGTAGACAATCTCCTGACAGCTATTGGAACTATCACAACTCAAGCTGCACGATCAATTATTTCTAACTATTAAATTCTCTTTTTGCATATTAGGTCCTAACTACAAAAGGATATGGTGATTCCAAGAATCTTGATGAAGTCTTAATCTAATGTTCCACGAAACTGGAGAACATAAGCTTCAGATCCATCACATATGTTGCTAAGAGAAGTTATTTAATATTGAAAACATAAAGTAAGTAATAGTTTAATATACATGGAAGGCAGATACCTGATTTAAAAAAAGAATTAAGCACAGCAGCACAAGAAGAAGACAACTCGGTTGAAGTTTAATCAAGCCATAGAAGTGTCGAGTATCGGATATATTTTGAATAGTTGAAGAAAATATAATAACCTGCCAGGATGCCTGATATCACATTAAACGTAAAGTTCTTAGAAACGTCCAGAGGCTCTTTACAGGAGGGAGAAGGCCAGAGATCAGGATATCCTACACCCCTGCATACACGACAAGTGATAATCAGGAATTAATACAATAATCTATTCTAAGAAAATTATAAATTGGGAGATATAGTTTGAATAGAAATAAAGATATCATATGAAACTTATTTTGTCGACTCATTTTAGAAATTAATGATACTACAATATTAGGAAAGTATAACTATATTGTTTTCTTAAAAAAACTAGAGATTAAAGTTGCTGAAAATGGCAGCAGAAGCTGGCACATCGAAACTCTCTTCAAATATTTCTGATTATAGAGACACTAAACCTGATGACAATGAAGTGGCTGCCACGTGCAGCTTAGCAGTAACGTGTGGTGTGTGGGGGTTGGAAGTTTTAGAGAGTTCAGGAAATAACAAAAGTAGAGGCGAAAGGAGTCAACCGAAGTTGATGCTGTCACTACTTGTGGTATAGGAGCTAGAAACAGGGGAGGCAACTCTGTGTACAGCTGAAGAAACTTGAAAATAACGAGGAAAGAAATGGCAAGGAAGAAGAGAATTTTGGTGGTGGTGTGAGTTGCTGAAACTGAGGCAGCTGAGCTGTAGCAGTGCACAAAGAAGAAAAGGAAGGAAGGAAAGAAGAGAATCATGAAAGAAAGAAAGAAAGAAAGATATGGAAGAAGGAGGTGGAGAAGGATAAAACTGGCAATTACTGGCGTAAAATATAGTTGAGTTACACTCCTGAATAAGCATCAACTCGTGTTTCTGTGATACTAAGCAACTTTTTAAGCAGAAACATGATATCCTTGCATAAGAAATTGGGATAACCTGGGATACTACAGCTAAAGTACAAACGGATGTAGGAAACTGTATACCGGTACAAGTATCCCAGCCTTGTGAGGCACTTTTCAGGGGCATAATGGTTAGACTCTGGCAAAACCCCAGAAGCAGTAGTACCTTGATCATCAATAATAAAATTTTATTAATTCCATATAGTGAAGTGCCCAGGTATACTGCACATCCTACATATTATTCAGTAAGGCGAAGGAAGTTGGGTACCAGGGCCGGATTTGGAGGGGTTCCCCTGTGCTATAACCCCCCCCCGCTCCCTGGCCCAAAAAAATAATAATAAATAAATAAATAGAAACTTTTTATTAAAATAACAGTTCTTAGATGTGGAAAATTATTTGTTTTTTCATATATTTGCCCAGCCTAAAATTTTTTTAAACCCCCTCTGGCTCAGCCTGTGTTGGGCACCAACAATGGTGGCAGCATCATGGTGAAGATGATGAACAAAATACACATTGGGTGCAATGCTGCCAAGGCTCTGGTGTAAAAGATTGATACCGCTATGTCCTTCTACATTGAAAGCAATATATTTGGTCATAATTGGTAAGCATACAATTTGAGGCATGGGTAAGTGGATGACAACTCACATTGGGGCAATGTTAAATTATAAAGAATTATGAGTAGATGAAGAAGACAATGAACATGGTAATAGATAAAAACATTTAAACTCAACGTTAGAAATGCTTTACCATGATTTTGCATGACCAGGGACATCAACTTCTGCCATAACATTAATACCTGAAACATAAATATAAAAATAAAAATAAAAAAGTTTGTTCTGAAATGACAACGATGTAACTAACAGTGCCTCTGAATGTATTGAAATTTTTGCAAAAGATTTTGATAATGCACTTACCTCTCATTTTTGCAAAACTTTGTTTGAAGACAACGTGAAGGAAACATGGAAAAGAAAACATATTATTAACTTCTTATATTAAAGATGAAGAAAAACAGAGAGAGAGAGAGAGAGAACGAACGAACGAACAAGCAGTGTGATTTAAGCCTGAATATGAGGATATATATATATATAGAATCAACTGACAGATCAGGAGGTACTGCTGCTGGCCTCTTTGCAGAATAAAAATATGTTATAGAAGTTTTTTCTCATCTACTCAGAATATTTAAGCAAGAATCTAGTAGGGACTATGGGATGCTATCATTTTCTTGATTCTTTGAAAGTTAGAAAGAGATGGCTTTAAAAAATAAAAACTATAATGAAAGCCCAGTATCATACAATCTTTTCAGCTTGTGCACATATCAAAAGATAATAATAATTGCTCCCTAAGCATCAGTTACATCAATCCCCTTTTTAAGTCGAACGTATAACTTTTAAGGCATTTACTGCTGGAAGGAACATATAAAATTATAGCAAATAACTGAGAACTGAAAAATAAAAGACTTCATCAGGCCTAGTGGACATTAATCTTCCTCTGAATTTATCATAAAGTTTAGAAGAAATTTTCTAGACATCCAACATTTATTTCTAGCTGAAGACACCTGAAAAAAGTCTTACTTAACAACTTCGCTAGCATCCTCCATGGTATAGCGCTCCCACTTTGTATACGCACCTTTCCACAAATTTGGATATGTAGGCACTTCAAGAGGAAATGACTCTTCGTCTATGATATGCCAGTGAAGAACATTCTACTCTCAAAGCATCAATAAATTTACAACCAGACAAGGAAACAAACTTATTGCTTGGTTAAGAGCAGTAAAATGGTTAACAAAATAACTTACAAGTTTAGCATATGACATAGATTCTATAACTTGCTTGATTATATCAATTGGCAAGTAATGCCTCGACGTATCTACAGAAACATTAATATAAGATATGTCAATGTGCAATGCAGTGTCAGATTATAAAAGCAACACAAAAGGTTATCAACTGAGAGAAGGATCACTTTTTACCAAGCAAAAGCCCACGATATTCAAATCTTGGCTTGTCCTGGATGTACCATGGCGCTTTGTACACTTGAACAGTTTTGGTTCCATAATCAAAAGCACATAGTTGGCTCAATGTCTGCAGAACAGCATTAATCAGAGAAAATGAGACAAAAATGTTGTATTTCCTCACTGCTAGGTGCTAGCTACATTTAAGGCCAGCATATTATTGCAAGAGTAGAAGGGCACTTCAAATAATTAGTCATTGGTTGACAAAAATATTTTCATTACTGACTCGCTTCTCAATAAGTTGAAAAACAAACATGATATTTGAAACAAATAAATTGTCTAAACAAAATGTGCATATATCTACTATGATCCACCATACCTCCAGGCCACGCAGTGCACCATACACAGAATTTGCCTGCAAAGTACAACATTCTAACAAGGCTCAGAAAAATCATCTTGGAAAAATGATTTACCTATGCATTATTTGAAGAGAATTTGTAATAGTTAAAAAACAGAGACAGTTAAAAACTTTTTATATAAAATTCTAGCTTTAGCCAGGTTGGACATGTAATGGTTAAAGTTCAAGGACAGGATTGCATTTGTAATCACCGGATACAGAGAAAAGAAAGGAATAGCCGTACCGAGAAATTTTATAGACCCAAAATGAACAAGTTATTTCACTTTCCGGAGAAACAACAATAATCCTGCTTGTATCTATGCCCAAGCACCATGTGCATTTTTTCTAGTCCCTTAACCGTTCTATTTATTTTTACTTCTTCCCAACTGTATTTTAGCACAGTGTTTATCAAAATGTGAGAGCTCCCAATCAAATCATGCACTGTCAAAGTTAATTGAGCTATTGCAAAAAATAATAATAATAATAATAATAAATAAATAAATAAAAAATAAACACTTGCTAGAAAATGAAAGGAATCGACAACACGAAGAGAGTAAAACTTATTTAAAGATTCTCTGCACAAAATAGTAAATAATGCCTATTACCTGATTATCCAATACTCCCATCAAATTTTGAAAATTTTTATTTTTGACAAAACTATAAATTTGATTTTCGATTGTACCTCAATTGTTATCTCCCCAATAATTGAATGCTCGTCTCTTTTGTCCACCAACAATGAATAGCTCTCATCCACTCCAAGTTGAAGCTACAAAACCCAAACAAAAAAATTTAAGTAAAAAATAAAAACGCAAACAAATCCCAACGTTTATAACCAAATTACCTCTTCATTAGCGGAATGAACAATAACATTAAGCTTTTCAATATCATAGCTCACTCCAAACTTCGATAACTTAGAATGATGCTTAAATATAATCAATTTATATCTCTCAAAAGCCTCTTTAACAATAGCAGAACCCCCGCCATGGCCACTAACGGCAAGCGATAAATTAGGGTCAACGGCCAGCGTTTGGTTTCCGAAACTGAATTCAGATGGCAATGGCCAAATATATGTGATGGAGTCATCATCATACAGCTGGGAATTTGAACTGTGCTTTAGATTACGGGAAGCGATTATTAGTGGGAAGAATGATAAGTAGATGAAAAATATGATTGTGGGGATTGGATTTGATGCATCGGCATTCATTTTGGGGATCACAGTGCGTGATTTGATTCAGAGTTGACTAAAAGCATAGGGAGATTGATGGAGTGAAGAAGATAGAACGAAAAACGTGACAAATGATTTTTCTAATTGTGCTCATTATAAATATTTATTTATATTTTATCTTATTTTTATCATAGCCCCTAATTTCTATATGGAACAAAATAAAAATTGACAGATAAAAGTTTGATAACACCTTCAATGCGATTGATCGATTTCAGGTATCTTACTTATAATTGAACTAATTTTTTGGATCAATTTTGATCATTATAGTCAAATAGACTATTTCAATCCATGAACATTGAACTGAAATAATTTCATTTTGATGAGCTAAATAATTTAATAGCATTTTTAGTTAAGTATCTTTTATACTTAGTCAAATAATAAACTAGTATAAAATCGAATATAGAATCAAATTCATTGAGTTCCGTCAAGTTATTTTAATTTTATCGAGATAAGATTCATTCATAGTTATTGTCTTCTTTTCATGTCAAATAAAAATATGCTATTTGTTTGTTTGTATGCGTATTTATTCGTTTCCTTAGACAATTATTATAAATTTTGTGTTTATTGTGAAGAATTATAGTACTTTCAAGAGTTGTTTGAGGATCATTTTTTTCTCAAAAAATACATTTGAAATAGTATTATGATGAAGAATGTGCGGTTAAAAAATAAGGAAAAGTTTTGAGTTTGCGTGTAATATTTTTTTTATTGAAAATACGCGGTTAAAATGATATTAAATCACTGTTAAAAAATATATTTTGATTGAAAAAATGACGCTCAAACAAAGGCTCTATGTTTATTTTTTAAAAATAATCATTGATCTTAACACTTATCTCATGTATCACTCCATTTACTTTAATTTGAAATCATGAATTTTTATACAGAATGAGACAAAGTGACGAACTAAATAATAACTTGTTTAGTCCGAACAATGACCGTTTTAACTTATTTCTTTAGCTTACAAATTATCTTCACTTTTGAGTATCTCAACTTAAGAACAATTGGGGTGGACTTCTGATAAAAATAAATAAATAAATAAAAGAACATAAAAAGCATATTTAAGAAAATAAAAAGTTCTTGAAAGATAAGGAAAGAGGAAAAAAGAAGATAATTTTCAAAAAGAGATGCTACATAATAAGTCTTAACCATGCAACCAATGTTCATTATGTCGGGGCCATATGCGTCCACTCCAAGAATTTATCATGATTTCAGCATATTTTGCTAAGTTTAACCTCCTTCTAAAGAGCCTTTATTATATAATTTACTCTACAGACAATCCGCATGCAACCCAATGATATGATTAGGTTGATAAAAACAGAGATGCAAGGACAATCCTTTAAAAAAGAAACATTTCATAACAAATGTGAAATCCTTGATAATTTTATTTTTCTTTAATCGATAATCTAATTCGATCTTTCTGATCAAAAACCGACAAACTGACCACAGCTGGTCCAAAGGAGACTGCTGGGTTCATTGATGCACCATCAAATGGACCACCTGCTAAGATATTGGCACCCACAATGAACCCAATTGCAATGGGTGCAATGTTTCCCAAATTACCCTTTTTTGGATCCACTGCAGTAGCATACACCGTATACACCAGCCCGAAGGTCATCACAATCTCAAAAACTAGGGCGTTCCACACAGAAACACCGGACGACAAGGCAAATGCTGATGTTTCCTGCAATATATAAGTTGGCTCATATGTCGATTTCATCCCACGAAAATCGTGAACGTACATGTTGAAGTAGATTGTCATAAAATTGAAATAAACAAGGTCCCACGTCAAAAGAGAGGAAGGAAAGATTAGAATGTATAACTTTTTACTTGGTACTTCAATATATTTTGCCACATTTATTTTCACTTGCATAAATAATTACAATAAATACATATTTAATTATCTATTACAAGTTTATGATAGAAAGTATTGAGGGTTTGTTGCATACTCCTCAAGATAACTTGTCTCTTGGATTGGGGAGGTAATGTTATGTTTAAGAAAGTGTATAAATGCCCTAAAGCCTTATTATTTACTTACACGAGTAAAAGACGAGGAAATGAGATGGGCTCTTCAAATTTTTACCAAATTTTCCATTTCTATTTTTGTTTGAATTTCAAACCATCTAGACATGAATTGTATATTCTCTAATACTCAGGTATGTCTAGATTTACTTGGGAGGGCATCGCCATCTATCTTGTTCTCCTTTTTCTCCAAACATGTATAAATTCTTACATATATTCTAAGTTCAGACAATGAAAAGACTAAAATTTGTAAAATTCCAGTAATGGAAGCAAATCATTGTTGATTAATGCACTGAATTAAGCTACTACAAGAAATTTCACATTTAACAACGAAAAGAAGTTCTCTCAACGACCCTATTTTTACGAAACAATCAATGATTTTTTACACCAAAAATTTTCGTAGTTTGGAAGCAAAATTTGTCGTAAAACGATCAACTTTCTTACCAATCCTCCAGTAGCAAACTTAAGAAGTATGCAGGCAACAACAGAGCCAAGTAATTGAGCAATCCAGTACAAAATGCTCCTCAAAAGTGTTATGTTCCCACCAATGAAAGCACCAAACGTGACAGCAGGATTCACATGACCCCCTGATATGTTTGCACCTACTGAGACTGCCACAAAAAGTGCAAATGCATGGGCTAATGCTGCAGCTAGCAGTCCTGATGGATTTGGTGACCCATCATTGCTCAACTTATCTGCCATAATATGATACAATCATCAAACGTTTTACGTTAGAAGATCGAAAAATAAAGAAATGATGTACACGAATGAGATACCAGCAACAAGAAGATTGAAAAATGATAGCATAGAAAAACTCCCAAAAATTGAAGATCTCATACGTGTCTTTCCAGGGAAGATTAAGCCAGGATCTTTAAGAAAAAATATTATTCGATAAGCTCACACTAGCCCATCAAATATCAAATGAAGAAAGTGGGATTCCTAGAGTCTCCGTTAATTCGATCATTGTTTCGTATCAACGGAATATAAATAGATGTAGAGGAGAAAGAGCGAACGTACTAAAAGCCATCCCGGAGCCTTGACCAGCAAAAACAAAAATAAGCATAGAGAAGAACTCAGCAAGCGCGGCCTTGAGTGCATCAGGGTGGCTCGCTTCTCCAGGCGTCCCAATCGCAATCCGATAAATCGGCATCTTAAATTTCCCTTTCAGCTACTTGAGTTATGCAAGGAGCTTGAGCTTGCAAATTAAAGGCTTTCTTCGGCTTCCTCTTTTGTTCACTCTGCCTTGCCTTTAGTAATAGAATGCATGCATCAGAGTCAAAGGCTCAAACAAACTGCTAGCATATACTGAAATAACGGCCAAGGAACAGGGTATAAGCAAGCTAATGTCCTATGATTGATGATGTTGTGCCACTTGTTAGGCTCCCAAGCTTCGTAGGTTTTTTTTTTTTTTTACTTTTTCATTTTTGGCCCTCATTTGATGTAGCTATAAATCAGATTTTTAACAAATTTTGATAAATATCGATAAAATTTATTGTTGAAAATTTGTAGATCTCACAAAACATGTAATTAAAATCAAATATTGACTTAAACTTAATTTTTTTAATTCTTTTCTCAAAATTTTATGTTACACCAAACAGGAACTTCCTAAAGATGATCAGCTACAATCCTTCCAACCCCATTAGTAATATCGTACCAAACATCTTTACTTAGTCTCGAGACAATGAACTATAATGCACGAAACATAGCTTCTCTTCACTGCCATACTAGAAAATTGCTCGATGCACGAAATCAATATTCATATGCAACTCAAGGGGTGGAGGATAATCTAATTCAACTCTATTTTAGACTTGCCACCCCTTTAGTTGTCCTCTAAATACATTTTTTTTTTTTTTTTACGTACCAATACTTCAAACCGTAGGCATCTTTCGATTTGCTAATAAGAAATAATATGTTGATGGGTTAAAAATATATTAAGAGGGCAGTTCCAGGGGGTAGCAAATCTATTTGCAGCATGATTAGTACTCTCTATATTGAATGCATGGCTCATCTAGTTATAAAGTTTCATAGTCGTCGTCCTCCATATCGTGACAATCTTCACAAAAACCCTCATTACAACCACTTCAAACATAAAGAAAAGCTCAATCAAATGAAGCTTCAAATTAACAAATAATTAAACAAAGATCATCGTGAATAATTAGTTTTTCTTGCATTCCACCAAGTTCGCAGTAAATAAGATTTTACTCCTAATCTTCCTTACAATACTATTACCCACGGCAAAGTCAGTGCCTACCTTATGAATAGTATCTAAAAAACTTGTTGGAGAAGCGTTCGTAAACTATTTAAACTATAAATATAACTGAGTGGTGGGTAGTCCTTGTAAATCCCACGAAATATGCGGATAAAAAGTGGTTTGAATATTTATAAACATGAGCCAAACATAAACTTAGCCAGTATCTTCACGCCGGGAAAATCATAATGTTTTTTCACAATTTTTTGACCAAATACGATTCAGTGACAAAATAAATGCAAGTTTTTCAACCAAGAAGGTACAAATTGTCTGTACTCTGAATCATCATCCTGGTGATAATTGAGATGAAAAGAAAGTACAAATAAAACATGTCTCTTGGCTACATGACGTTTTCATTCCCCAGTATCAGAAATTATTACTTCATCTGCAAAAGAGAAATGAGTGTTAAAAGAGTCGCGTTCCAATCTAAAAACAAATATTAATTATCCATAAGTTCTTATTAGTAAGAAGAACATCATGATATATTCATGAATAAAAACATAGAAGGATGATTTAACTGCAGCGTCAGAACAAATTTGCATTAAATCAAATCTTATAGAACCACACATCCATCATAACATCTCTCTACTACTTTGTCTTCAGGTTAATTTGTCTTTTAATTGTCCAATGTAGTTACTGGAATCATAGTTAGTCCAGTTAACATTCAAAAGAACTAGAAATTTTACTTAATATCTTCCAAAAAGTAGAATGCCTCTACAATTTGTCCAACTCACACTAAAGCCTAAACCCATGAATCGTATCCTGTCCAAGTCTTCATTTCTTATCAGTTATGGAACCTAAGAACTAAGGTCAACCACTCTTTATAACATGGGTCTATATTGTAATTAAAAATTGTCCTTGTGCTTCATAGTACGAGTAAAAAGGGCCTTCTATGTATTTCATCTTAATCTACATATAAAACTTTCGATTTCACAATGCTCCAAAGTTCTAATGCATGGTCTATCTGTCAGCTAAAATCATCATTTAAAACTAATCAGCGAGTAAAATACACCAAAAGGCCTCATCATAATTGTATTGTAAGTTCATCCATCGTCAAAACACGATCACTGTAAAGCTTTGATGCAAGAATATAGTAATAGAAATTTTCGTTACCCCCCATAAACTTCTCTTGTTTATGCTTCAATACATATATCCTTGATAGTACAATATAACTAAGGTTTGTTTGATGTAGATTTTATGAGAAGTGATATTTTGGAGATTGTATTATCGGAAAGTAGGGAAAATTATGAGTTCACGTGCAAAATTATTTTATTAGGAGAATAAATGGCTAAAAATGAGTTTGAAGAAAAATGAGTTTAAAAAAATCAAATACGGACTTAATAATAAGTTTTTTTCCTCCCACATCATTTTGCCACCCTACCATATGTGCTTTCTAAATCAGTAAAGTTTAGTACAAATTATTCTTAGGTTCTCTATACTTTTCCATCATCATTCTGCAAAGTAATAGCTTCATCGATATATATCCCTATGATAAAACCAAATCTATTCTCCGCCACATTTAAGTAGGAAGTTGATCTGTATTCAATTAACCTCTCTGAAAGTTTCCAAGTATGACATGTTAGCTAACTGCCTCTAAAGTTTAGGCTACGTTAGAGCTCCATTTTAAGGGGAGAATGGATTTTGTAATAGAGATTTTTTTTTTTGACAATGTGTGGTTAAAAAGTAGAGACAAATTTTGGGTTTACGTGCAAAATTACTTAATTGAGAGAATGTGTAATTGAAAATGAGTTCAGAAAAAATGATTTTTTTTGAGAATGAGGCTCAAACATGAGCTTAATATCATTTATTCCGATAACTAAAACACTTTTCCTCCATTGACCACACATCTTTTTACCCCTTAAATCTCAATGAATAATTTCAAAGACCACGAAATATCCACATAGCATATGCACTTTCTTACTTCAATATTGTATTTGGTACATTTCCTCAGATTATATTTAAATTTGATAACTTGTTTCAATATTTTGATATTAGAATCATCGCAGTAGTAAAATAATTTTTAATGAGTTCCAAATACATAAAAAAAACATTTAATCAGACTGAAAAGCCACAATCAACTGTCCCTCTCGATCTAACAAGAATATTATTGCACGGTATCACAACGAAAGAACTAGATCTACAATTTATTAATTTGCGTCTAAGGTTTGTAAATCGAGTAAGACTTACTTCCCGTGCCTTTGCACAAAGGGCGAGTTCTTCGCATCCTCCTCTGGGAACAACATTCATAAACACAATAAAAATAAAAAATTGTAAGAAATTACATACAAAAAATATTATAGAAATAAGAAAAATTAGAGTACGAACCAGAGAGGCTGAGGGAGAACTTGGTTATGATGGTGCCCGTAATAGCGAAGCCAACAAGGAAAGGCCAGTTGCGACTGAATTCTCTCCTGAAGAACACTGGCCATGGATCGAATTTTCTCATTTTGGCGTTTATTTTCCAGTCTAATATCTGCTCCAGTGAATCGACGAATGAAATGGCTACGAAATGTGCAAGCCAAGAGCGTGTGATGTTAAATCATTATGTTACAGCCAATTCAAATGGGCTCTCAAGGCCCAAACCAAGAGGGCTCAGAGGCCCTACTCCTTGTTGCCGAAATCACACACGAAAATTACATAGACCCCCTTGAAATTTGTATCAATTTCATAGACGTTCTTTCACTTGTCAAAATTTCCACAAACATCCAATAATTCAAATTTTGAATAACGCATACCTTTCTTGAAGTACGGGGCAAGACATCCCTCCATTTTCAAATATTACACAAACCTTCCATATTTCAAAATTTGAATAATACATACCACACACGAGGTTTATGGAAGTTTCGAAATACCCCTCTATTTTTTAAGATTACACAAAAGTCTCAATTTTAACTTTTAAATAAGCATACCTCCATTGACCATTTTTCTCTCACATTTGAGTGTAAATAATTGTGGTAGTGCTTAAAATACTCTTATGAACTTTCTTTTATCTTGTAACTCATTTTATAATGATTTAATATATAAAATATTGTTTTAAAACTCCAACTAAATTAAAAATAAAATATTATTTGAGATACTCAAAGTACGTTTATGTATGACAAAGTAAAGAGCACAATCAAAAAGTATCATAATAAACCTTTCCTTTTGTATATAAACCAACCATTCTATACAAAATATAAAAAACTACTTGAAAAATGTGTCATTTGTAGTATTCATTTTTAAGCTTCACTTGATCGATCATCCTACAACTTCTTTTTCCTGTCAACAATAAGTTAAAACATAAATGTTAATGTTCAGAAATAAACCCGTACTATTTATTACATTCAAAGAATTGAAGTATTTCGCTCACAACTACCAAATATCAGGAACTGAATTAAGAAGAAATCACTGCTAGAATCCATCAATCTCATGTTTTTCAACATAATTATTCAAATTGATTAAATGATAAAATGTTTTTGAAAAAGAGGAATATCTAGCAGGAGGCGGGCCTAGGCTATAGCATTGGCTTGTCCCAACCCACATAGTAAGATAAAAGGAATTTTATAGGCATGTTGGGTCTACTGCTGAAAACCCGTCTACAAATGTTATTTTCCATTGCCTGCGAAAGAGTGGGAACTCTGGTTGTTATCAAATACATTTACTGTTATAAGCTCTGTTTTGTTTTTTGAATATGTCTTTTTATCTTAACATTTTTCACGATGACTGGATTTCTATAAAATATGAAGAGCGACAAAATAAAAAAATAAAAAAGAAAAAAAAACATTGTACGAATTATGAAACTACATGTGTTTCTAAAAGATACCCAGCAATCACCAGCATATAACACTAACAGCTGTCGATGGATAGAGGTTGAATTTAACGAAGATAAACCTTTCATACCGAAAGAGTTGACAACATACCAAGTACAAAAAATATACCCTAATAGGTCCAACCTCGAAGTAGGACATTCATCCCTTGTCTTGATTAACAAATGTAGGTGTGATGTACCGAAGGTTTTAACAAAATTCATAATATCAAACCAAATAAAGATGGATGTAGTAATAGATATGGACCCAGCTACACGAATATAATGGTTGACATGGGAGATGACCGAATACACGCACCTCGGGAGTCGAATATTTTTAATTCACGCAAAACCCACGTGCAATGTGAGGATTGGTCAGCCAAGGCGTCAACCAAATTTGAGCAAAGTGGCTTCTTCCATAGATACGTTCAGTAGGCTATATGTTGCAAATGTTTACAAAGTGCTATTGACACATGACAATTTCATCCTTGGCCAGAGAATTATCAAATGTCTTCATACCTTGGATTTGTCACTCCACACAAAGCACATCATCACAAAAATGGGTAAATTACACAAAATGAAAAAAAACTTCAGACTTTGCCGATGGAAAGACAAATTTATTAACAATTTATTTAGCATTGATGTACTGCACATGCAATCAGTACAACAATGTCTTCAATTGAAAAGTAAATCACAAACAATATCTGCTACACCTATTTTTTAGAACCCCGTTTATGCTTGCCCACACAGCTTTAAGCTTTTTGTTGTTTACAAGTTCTCCTATTGTGTTCCGATCCGCCATACATTCCACATCTTGTAGGGTTGGAAAGCTCAACCCTTGTTCTTCGCCTAGCATTTCTTGGTCTCCCTAGCTGCCTCTTCGATCTAGGCTGTAAGATCTCACCTCGATGAAGGTATTTATCTATTTTCCATTGGGCATGATCCCCAAGTGTTATTATGGATCCAGCGTAGCAAGCCAAGTAACTATCCTTTGTGTGGTATCTCAAACAATAACGATACGGTTGTTCACCTATTTCTCCAATCACAACTAATCCATATTGGCACGCAACCCCATCAACCTGAAAATGGTTGCAAGCGCATGTCATCAAATGCATATCTACGACATGCTGGGAGTTGTAGTCCATCACTTGGTACAAGAAGTCATTTGATGCAGACACCTAAGTTGTCATCCACATACTTGGCACCACTAGGCACAAGAAGACCAAATGTTCTCGCATTACAAGTAACGGATACATTTATTTATTCCATATCTACATGAAGAGCCAAACACGACACAACATTAGGGGATGAAATTATACATATAGATCTTACATTTTGTAACATGAAAACAATTTTATATACGTTTAAAAAATATAAAGACGATACATACCATCACGTGAAAATTGTCGGAATCTTCAAATACCTGGACATCCGCAATGGAGATTGTATAATTCTCAAAAAATGTAGAAACACGATGTTGATAATGAGCTCTTCGTCGTGATTATCAAATTAGGTAATAATATTCAGTTCATATTCCACTCAATAAATTTGGTATGCTAACCCCATGTAATCAGCTACCATGCATTGAAGGCTTATTCCATGACTTTGGTTGGAGAATTTTTAGTTACAAGAAAGAATATTGAAAGTCCAAACATAAGTAAAGCAGATGTTTTTATGTATTTTAATACAACTTACAGTAAATTATAAAATAGTTGGTAATATACATGTACTTATGATTATTTCTCTTTTTATAGTTAAACTGACCCAAATTCAATATTAGCCCAGCTTCATATTGATTTTCAATCCAATTCTAATTATCCAAATATGATATTAATGAAATGTGAACAATTTATTACCAAATTAGGTTTTTATTTAATGCATGTTTTACTTGTAATTGTTTATTTATCCCTCTACTATTAAAAAGGGGAATGTGCAAGTTACTATTCATTTGTGAAGTATTTTGTATTCCCATTTTACCCTTGTTCATCCTGCATCATTCTTATTTTACCCTCCAAAGCCAACACTATTTTACCATCTCCAACTTGAGGGTTCAATGGTCTTGATACAAAATATGGCATTGCTGATTGCCTTCACACTTGAATCCAACGTCCATCACTTATTTTACTGAATATATACTGTTTATCTGACATTTGGTAGCCTTCTTTGTTGACTAGAAAAGGCACAAATTTTATCATTTCTTTAGTCTCCCCCTTTCATTTGCCTTCAGTCTATCATCATTTTCTCTCCTTTGGAAAATAATCGGAGCTCCCTTTCACTATATCTCATCTTTTCTTTACATCTAATTCCACAAAGGGGTGCTATCAGTTAATATTTATTTCCCATCGATTTCTGAAAATCAAATCCCGATGGGGAGGAGGAAGGAGCGTTGAATCGAATTCCATACACACCGTCTCTTCTAACAAAAAACTTGAATCCGACATAGCGTTGGCGTGTTGCCCTTAATGGAAGCAGTAATCGGTATATTTTTCTTTATCCATTACATGCATATATTAAGCATGTAAAAATATTTTTTCCTTTTTTGAAACTTAACTCGTTATTGGTTCCTGGAATTGTTGTTATTTATATTCATGGTTTAATTTTCATTTATTGTCCTGAATATTTATTAAGGAGTTTATTACTTTAAACAAATTGTATATGGATTAAATGTTCTATGACCGTGCATTATTCCAATTGGTTATTCCAATTATTTTGTTACCTAGTCTTTTATATTTTCTTTTTTCTTTTAAATTCTATCCAGTTTTAATTTTTCTTCAAGACTGGATGTGCATTTCTTAGGCTATGCATTAATTTCATGAATTTATTGACAACAAGATTACCATTTTTCTCTTGTAGATATTAAATGTTATAACTTTATTGATTTGTTTATAATGTTATACATTTTTCTTAGTTTCTGTAATTGGAGATTTTTTTTTTTGAACTTCATATACAACTTTTTATTTTATATTTACCAGCCAATTATTAGATTCTTTTATTCTTTTTACGTTAGCTACGAGCAATTTTTAGAGGAAGGGAAGCTTTTGGAGGTATATCTAGATAAATCATGCTGAAAAAATGTCCTGCATCAGTTGATGCTTTTAGTTTTTTACATTTTGGGGCTATGTCCTACGATAAGGACAGGGGAATCCTAGAAGCTGCTTCTAGGCTTTATCATTTAGGACAAGATAGTGCTACTTGTGGAGAGTCTATGTTTATTAAATTGTAGAAAGTCCTTGGTGGTTTTTTTTTTTTTTAACATTTTATGTAAAAGTTAATTTTTTTTTAAAGAGGAACACACATCCTTATTTAAATCTTTGGTTTTCCTAAATAATGAGTTAGCAGTTTAATCTTAACCCAATTGGACTATGGGGTTAAATCATTTTCGCATTCACACATATTTCAGTTTTTTATGTTTTTGAAGGTCTTTGATGTGATGAGAAAGCAGGAGCAAATGTTGCTAGCGGAATTGGTAGCGGAGAATACTAATTTTGGGGCCATTAAAGCTCATGGTGATATATTGAATGCTTAATTTGATATATTTAGTCAATCATTCATAAATGTTGTTAATTTTTAGTACATCATTCGTATTTGGTCTCTCTCTCTCTCTCTCTCACTCTCTCTCT